GCCTCTAGCACCTGTTCTGTCCTCAGGCATCCTTAGTTACCTGTTCTGCAACCAACCTTCCTGCCAAAACTACTCACCCTGCCACTCCGGCTCATACCCTTGCTCTCTTTAAAATAGCCAATCAGAATTAGCTTAGACTGTGCTGTCCAACCCTAGCCAACAGGGGAAAGACACAGCAGTAGAGGCTACCCGCGTCAAGAATGAGAACCCCTTCCCCTCCCTTGCCCACTGTGCTCTCGCCATTTCTCCATCTGTGAGATGTGCCCTTCTATAGAAGTAAATTTGCCTTGCTGAGAAAATTTATGTTCCAGTGCTGTTTTTTTTGCGGCACCAAAAACTTGTTTCCAACACAGAGAAGAAACAACTACGAAAGACCTGCCATCCAGGGATTGGGGAACAAAGGAAGGAAGTTAAAACTTTGAAAGTTAGGACCAGTGGGGACCAACAGAGTGTAACTCAGGCCCCTAAGGGGCTCCCAGCCAGTTAGTGGCCAGGGTCTCCGACAGCAAACAACGGGCCTGGTTTTTCAAGCACTGGGAAAACTGCAAAAGTTCACTGCTGCTACCAGGTGGAGAAAGCTGCCATGGGGCAGGCATGGTGGCTCACAGCTATAATCCCAGCACTTTCTGAGGCCAAGGCAGGAGGCTCACTTGAGCTCAGGAACTGGAGACAAGTCTAGGCAATATATCAAGACACCGTCTCTACAAAGTTAAACATTTAAAAATTAGCCAGGCAAGCTGCTGGTAGCCTGGCACTCGGTACATGCCTGAAGTCCCAGCTACTCAGGAACCTGAAAAAGGAATGCTTCCACTTGTGAGTTGGAGGCTGCAGTGAGCTGTGATCATGCCACTGCACTTCAGCCTGGCCAACACAGAGTGACATTCTGTCGAGAGAGAAAGAGAGAGAGAGAGAAACTTTCTGGGGCAACACTGACAGGGAGTGAAAAGTGAAGCTCAGAAACATAAAGGAAGATGAACAAATTGGAAGGAGTTGAAAAATAGAAGGCGTGGGGGAATTAAAAGGAGTCAGGTGATAGGAGGCGTTGGGCAATTGGAAGGGGGGATAATTGGGTAAGTGGGACAATCAGAACAGGTGTGACAATTGGAAGGGGGGACGACTGAAAGAAGAGTGGGAAAATTGGTAGGGGAGACAATTAAACGGCAGGGCAATCGGAAGGAGTGGGACCATTGGGACAATTGAGGGGGTGGGACAATTAGAATGGGGAAACTGGGAAGGAGTGGGACCACTGGAGGGTGCGCCAAGTGGGAGAGTAAGACGATTCAGAGGGCGTGACAGGTGGAAGGAGGGGGACATTGGAAGGGCGAGGCATTTGGAAGGAGTGTGACGCACGGAAGAGTGCGACGGGTGAAAGGGCGGGGCAACTGGG